GACGTTATTGAGAACAGCAACTGCTTCTTCCTTAAACTGTGGATAAATGCTGACTGTTTTGAATGTCATTAATTTATTCTCATGGATCTATTCTGTCACTGCTATAAAGCCTCTCTGCTCCTGCGTTTTTATTGATTCTTTCTCTATTGGGCTCTCGTTGTTTTGACTGAATCAACAGAACCATGTTCTGTTCTCATTTGTGATTTGTCTGCAACATCCAAGATGTTTGATCATTTTTCTCTCCTACTTTTTCTTAATATCACAGAGACTACTCCATCAAACTTGTTTGGTCTGACTTCTTTCTTCTGCTCCTTCTTCAGTCTTTCAGGCTCTTTGCTAGTCTTCTACACTTTGGGAGACTTCTGTGGCTTTAGTTAGCACAACTTGGAAAATAAACCCCAAACGCTAGGGCTCAGCCTTTAGTTGTTGGTCTCATTTCATCAGCTTTCTTTTAACTCTTCCCTATAACCTCTTACTTTGTTGCAGTCTGTCCTGAAAGGTTTTTTTTCCTCCAGATTTTTTGCACCACATCCTCTCACTTTTACCACAGATGACAGCATTGTGCTTTCCAGTGCCCCAAATTTCATTCTCCTTCTAGTTCTCTTTTTGTAGCCAGCGCTCATCTGACTTTCATCTCTTATCGCCAGATCCACATTTTTAGCTTCTAGTCCAAAACCTATGTGTATGTCTGTTATCTTTTGCCTTGATATAACCTCCTTCTGCCTCAGCCACCTCCTCTTCTCTGTTCTCCAGGGATTGGGCTGGATTGTCCCTCCAGCCATCGTGAGCTGCAGTGGGGGTGAGGCTGCAGCTCTGCTGTCCCTGCTGATACCCTGCAGACTCACGCAGCCTGAGCACCTGGCCTGTCACAGGGCAGCAGCTCCCACTGTCCCCGCACTGTGCCTGTAGCTAGAAGAATGGCAAATGGAGGTGTGCTGCTCTGACTGCAAAGCATTAAATATCCAATGCTGTTATTCAAAATGCATTTTGCCCCAGTGTTAGCATACCAAAACAACATTACAGTTGTAGTTGCTATTCTTTCTGCCATATCCACCACATTGGTAATTTGTAGGTTGGTGGTCTCATGTGCCCTTGTACTATTCTTACTGCTCACCATTCCTTATCTTCTCAGATTTATATACAGGCTTCCCCATTCAAATTCAATTATTAATCTAATAAGTGGTAACAAACAGTAAAGCTCACATATTTAAATGGCATTGTCATGTAATAGTTGTGTCTAGGGAGCTGCCCTCTTGGATATAGTGAATATTGTGGCCTACAGCTGTTTTCTTCTGTATCTCTTTTTATAGAATGTTTACGAAAGCCTGTATTGTCATATCCTGCTCTCCTGGCTTTAGAGGAGTCATGAAGTATTTCTCATACAAGTGAGACAAACTGAACTCTGATGTTCCTCACAGTATCTGACTATAGTTTTCACTGACACCTTCACCACTAATCACATATCTGTATTTCACAGAACATTAGTTAAGCTAAAAATTAAACATAAGTCCCAGAGATTGCATTGTGGCTGCATTAAGAATTTCTGGAGAGCATCCCATTAGGTTCTCAGTGCGCTGCAGCCTTAAGATCTAATCAGCATTTCTCTTTGAATTGCACAGGACCCAAATAAGTTGTTATCCTTATCTGTGTAGGATCTTACAATATTTGACTTCCTGTAGCCACAGTCAGCACCATGTCAAGCACTGTCATAGCAAAAGTACATTTGCAGAGAAATAAACCAAGTAATGGACTTGACAGGATGAACAACCACTTCCTTTTGCATAGATACTTTGCACAGTTAAGGCTGCCCTGTGACTCTGCTAGTAAGAAGTTCAAAATGCAGCTTTAATTATTATTTTTTTTTTGTTATCACAAGAAACTATATGAGAGTGAGATTTGGATTGAAGTAGAGGTAATGATTTACTTAAGGTTTTGCTTGTAACATGGGTTCTCACAGTTTTGTAGTCAGTAAACATTGTTGGGGTCTAGAGCTTGAGGTGTGCCTTTGTACTTGTCCCTTGGGTGGCTGAAATATAAATCTTTCATAAACACAATAAAAGAGAAATACTTCACTGTGTTGTGTTGGAAAATACTGTATTTTCAAACTTTTAATGTTAACATTCTAAACACGGTGTTAGCTTAAGTTAATGTCTTTTAAGGTGATTATGCCACTTTGAATTATGCCAGTGCTGTTTTCTTAGTTTTTGAAGTTGTGGTTTTGTAATGTGTCATAAAGCATATCTTAGTAGTCTTAGGGTCTTTTCTGCTTTTTCTCACTAGGATATGGCATAATGCCTCACTTGGTTTCCTAAATACTTTGCATGCTTGTGACCTGAGCTGGCTTTTAGATAACAAAATGCTGTAACCTCACATGAGGGGTGAAATGTGTTGTGTGCTGTACTCTGTGATCTCTGTGTTCAGTGGCCAGATTGTTTGATTTGAATGTGCCTGGGATTTCACCCTGAAACTCCAGGCCGTGGAAGCCATTAGGAAGCTGCAAAATGCAGCTCTAACTTACATGAATAATTCCTTCTGAAGTGAATGCTGGCAGTCCTGGGATGGCAATCCTTCCATAGCAAACATTGCATATGCAGGATATAAAATAGTGCTTAGACTAGTTCTGTGAGACTGGTTATAACTTCACCATGAGCTGATCTTGCTGAAGAGTCACACAGTCTGTGGGCCAAGCTGCCAGAGAAATCTCTGGAGAGGGATAAATAGAGTGTATTCCTCCTGCTCCTGGGTTGGATTATTTCTGGGTTAACCTCACCCCCTACTCCAGCAAAGCTGTGGGGAGAGATGGAATCAGCCTTGGCCCTATCTTTGGGTACCAGTTTGGGAAACAGCTTGCATTCAGCCACGCCTGTATTTGTGGATTATAATCTTGATTTAGGATTTGAAAGTAATTCCCCCCTTCAAAAGAAATTCCCCCCTTCACCTTTTTGTGAACAGGTTGCTTGTGATTTACAGTGTTGCATTAGCAATGTGGTCATGTGTAGAATAGAAAAGTGACTGTCCTTACAAGAGTTTCCCTTCTGTCTCCTTCAAGAGACCAGCAAACAGTACTCTGCAAAAATACAGCATTGATTATAACAGTGTTCTGGAGCTTGCTCTTGGTGCTTGTGATGTCAGTACATCAGGAGGTGTTATAAACAATTAAATTAAATAAAACAAAATATGGCATATTTTCAGCCTTCTAATTTGTAGAAGGAAAATGTGGATGGCAATCATTCAGTTCAGCCTATGTAGGTGGCTTTGCATTCAGTTTACAAGCCATAATCAAGCCTTATTCAGTCCAAGTCTGAGTAGTCTTGAATTGCTTAAACCAATTATTAATTAATATTTTTTACTTAGAAATCTCATTGTGGCATGTCTTTCTTTTTTTCTTTCCTTGCCTGTATAAAAACAAGTGTATAAGTGTAAGGCTACATGGAGTCATCAGGCAACAGACATATGCTTTCCTGTGCTCTCCGCAGGGCTTGCAGGTTCAAACACAACCTGCCTGAATCATAAGAACTTTAATTGAGTAGATAAAGAGGTCCTCATAATTATAAACTGCAGTAGGTATAACAAGAGGCTAAATACATAGCTGTGGTTTTAATTAGCTGGTGCTTCAAATTAGTAATTGTGGTTTCACTCAGAAATCAGTGACTTTATACACTGTTAAAGCCTCATCACTGTGCAGTTCATTCCTCATTATATCTCTCGGTGTGAAGCTTTCAATACAATATCATGCTGAGCTAAAAAGGCAAAAGTTGTAGATATTTGGTTATCTTCCAAGTGCAGTGGAGCTCTATGGAGATTTAATTCATTCTCACCAGAGATAGGAGAATTAACTGTTCCTTGTTACAGCTGGAATATGTGTGTTTGTATGTAAGCATCTGTACATCCAGGCTGTGTGTGGATGTGTGCATGTACGGCCGGGATCTATCGGGGAGATGGTGCTTGCTGCAGATACCATCAGGGCATGCACGGAATCCGCTATTCAAATTGTCATCTGGAATTCGGGAGCTAATTAACTGACACAAAGCAGAGCCAAAAGCCTCCTAACAAATCAAATGCGGGTTGAAAGCACAGAAGTGTCCCTTAATGCTTGTCACATGAGAGGCTGTCAGTGCAAGTTGAAGTATGCATCTTTTCCTTTCCTCTTTCCTTTGCTATTTTTCCCTCTCCTTCAGGGTTTTAATTATATCTCTTCCCTCAGAGGAGCAGGAGGTAGTTTGCAGAGCCAAGAGACCAAAGTACTTCAGTACTATTCAGGGGAGAAGTGAATGTGGTCTCTCAGCCTGTCATCTAGGTCTGGCAGGTGCACAAAGCAAGCTGACACACAGATAAGTGCCACTCACCATTGCTACACCGAGGTGCTAGATCCTTTTCTGTGTTTGTGTGTAGAATTATCTGATACTGGAATCAACTATCCTAAAATCTCTTCCGGCAGCTTGCTTCTACAAAACACTTCTTAACCTCTCCTTGACATCGACAATGAGGCCATACATAAATTTTAACAAGAAGTGGGACAGAATTAGGTGGTCTAAATCACACGAGGCTGAACTGGAGCCTTGGGATGGATGTTCAGTGTAATGGATTTGTAGATGTTGCTGTGCTTCCTAGCCTTCACATTTGCTTTCCCTGCACAGACCCATGTTTTGTGGGCACACATGTGTGTGTTTGGGTGCAGATGCATTTGTGTTTGCAGGCTGCTAGTACAAGGATGTCAAAATGTATTTTATTCTTTTGCCTACTACTCTGTTAATTTGTAAACAGTATTTTCATTGTTTCATTGAAACACTTTCCATTTTAGAGGTGTACTGACTGCCCTACTGCCCAATTTTATGTAGTTTTATGATTCCAGATTTAAATTTAGGATAAATTATTCAGAGGCTGTTTCTTTCAGAATTGTCCTCAGAAGCTTCTGATGTCTTGTTGCTATTGCTGATAGTAATATACGTGTAACAAAATTATGGGGAAAATAATGTGTTGTCATTTTTGTCTTTCCCCAGTCACTATGAGCAAGACCGGAGTGCACTTAAGCGGAAGGAATGGGAGAGAAGAAACCAGGAAGTCCAGCAAGATGAAGATCTCTTTGCTTCGGGTTTTAACCTCTTTGGGGAACCCTACAAGGTAAATTACATTGTTACCTTTTGCATTTTCAGAATGTCTTACACAAATACAAGAAAAGCTTCTGATCACCTCTAAGAAATGGAAATATTGCATCTGCCTTGGTACTTACACTCTTGAATACATTCTTGATTATCCAAATCAGCGTATGGCAGCAGAGCAACTGAATGTGTTGCCCACGTTGCATTGGCAGAATCAGGAGTTTTGGTTACAGTCCAGCTCAAGATTTCTTCTTCTTAACACACAACAAAGTCCTGCAGTAGAAGTGTGTGCAGCTGGTATTTCTACAAGTGGCTTGTACCTACAAAGCTTAAATAACTTCTTTCACTTTTAGGAAGAAAATATATCTGAGTTTTAAAAACCAATGTCCTCTCTATAAATAATGAGTCCATAATCTTTTTTTGTGCAATCATAACCATCCAAAGAAGTCTTTTGGGAGATTGGATCTTTGGGGAGCATAACAAGGATATGAAAGGGATTTTTGTTACAAGTCTTATTCTCTCTAAGGAGCTTTGCTGCATGAGATTTTCATCACCAAGGGATGTCCCCCTTTATGATTTCTGCTGCTTTGATTTTCAGTAAGACGTTCCCTAAAGAATTCATCAGAATGTAAATTTTCATATCTCTTTCTCCTCCCAATCAGTGACATCCATTGAAAGGCCACTACTTCATCTTTCCATTTTACATTGTTAGCAGCTGTAAGGGAGCATGAGGACTCTTTGAAAAATCACCCAAAAAGGAGGAGAAAAGACTACCATTTCTATCACATGGTGTCTAATAATTATAGACCATGAAAGTGTGATGGATGCACTCAACTGCTGGCTGTACTTTGGTTCAGGCAGGCTGAGGAGCAACAGACCTTTCTTTCTTGGCATGAATTTGCCAGCCCAAAAGCCACGGGCTCATGTTCAAGAGAGTGAAGATGTCTTGACAAGTATTTCCAAAGGTGGTTTTGAAACCCTGAAGTGGAAGATAACCAAAGTACAGAGCAAGATATCAGAACTGAAGTGATGACATCTATCTTGTCTATTGTAGTGATTAACAGACAACTACTTTACCCTGTAAATATTGTCACCAGGATGAGCCCAATTTGATCTCTCCCTGAAATGCAGCTGCACTGCACTCCAGGTGACCCTCTTCTTGAGGGATGCCTCTCAGGGGGAAATATTCCTTCCTTACCCAAGGCTGAGATCCCTTACCTGTGACATATACTTGGCTGATACCATGCTGAATTAATCCTATGGAACATTACTAGTCCATGTAGCTACTCAATATTATTGTAAATATTATATGGATAATTCCATTAGACTAATGCAAGTGGTTATTTGGATTTCAGGAGGTAGACCGGTATTCACAACACTGCAAAATTTTGTGGCAAGAATGAAAATCATATATCACCAATATCTATTGTGTAATAAGAATGAAAATATCTGATTTTAGTTCTATTTAATGTGTGTGTATTTGCACCAAATGTACAGAGACGGTGTGGTTTCTTTACAAAAACTCAATGACTAAAAAGCCAAAATTTATCCTGATGGGCAGATTTTTTAAGTTGCTTTTCACCTACTTGGCAGAGAGTTTGTAAACTTTGTGTGATTAAGCAAAATATAATAAAATACAGCCCTAAAAAGCATGATAATTATAAATTGTGAGAGATAAAAATGGAGAAAAAATTGTATGCATGCGAAAGTAGTTAAATATTCAGTGATTAAATCAATCTTAAATTTGAAAAAACATGTAGAAGCAAAACTAAATAGGAAAGCTAGGTCTTGCCTTAACTTTACATTAGGAGAGAAAAAGGGATAAAGTGATAGATCACTGTTTCCTTTTTAAGTTCTGCATTGCTAAGACCCAGCCACAGCAGAGTTTCCTAGGCACTAATTAAAGCTAAATCTAACTCTTAGTGGATATGTAGTGCTTTTTATTCTTAAGAGCAAAATTAAATTCAGGGGTTTGTTTGCATTCATTCTAAAACGAAATGAAGAGACCCTGATGTGAGAACAAATATCCTGCACGTGCAGTTTGAATTTCTTCTCTGTTTTGAGATGACCAGATGTTTCTGTGCTTATGAGACTCAAGGTCTTGCACAAGAAGCTGCACTTGTCTCTTGTGGTCACTCTCAGTGGGAGCAGAGTGAGATAAATCATTGCCCAGCAAAGTGCTGTGGCCTGTGATGGGCACAGGCTCCACATCCTCACTGGGCTGGCCCTGCTGCTCATCAGCTCGGGGTACAGCTGGTACATTGCTGAAAGATCTGAGGGTGGGAGCTGAGAATACAGTGACAAAGAGAAGGTTGGGAATAGCAGGTTTCAGGAAATAGGAAACATCTCTTTTTCTTTCTTTTGTTCCCAGACCTAGTGTCCATACTTGTTTATCATTCCTTCCTCATTTGCTTCAACAGTATCCAGACGAGGGAGTAGGTAGGGTCAGGGTAGGGCAAACCACCACTGCTGTTTCTGAAATTTTAAAGACTGAACAACTGGCAGCTGTTTTAAGACTGCACTAAGAAATTGATATTAAAAGTTGTATTAAAAGAGAAGGGAGCTCAGATTTTCTCATGGATCCTCCTGTCATTGTGTATCATGAGATGTGTGGAGTATCTGCCTTCATCTGTCATCTCTCTGCTCTAGCTGTTACAGCCTCTTTCTTTCCCTCTGTCAAATAAAACGTGGGTGTTCATTACAGTTTTGGACAAATGTGTGTTTCTACATTGATTCTTTGTAGTTTATGTATGTGTGCACTTACATGAAAAGAGATACTTATTTCTGTGGGTGTATAAAATACATTTTTCTATGCTTGTTAAAAGATAAATGTCTCATTTTGAAGCTCCACTGTCTCATGTGGGAAAACAACACCTTTGACAATGTGATGACATCCAGCATTATTTTGGGGAGGTCAGGCAGTAAGGGTTGTGTTACTCTTTAATGCAAGTGGGTTGCAGGTCCTGCCTTCGAACTCTGGTGCAACCTGTTCATGCTGGATTTTGCAGAAGGGATCAGAGAAGGGGCTGCAGTGTAACAGCAACAGACATTTGAAAAAGCACTGTTGGAGCTTTCCTGAGAGAAGCTGTAATTTTACTACTGAATTGTTGATACCTTTTAATGTTTTGAATTACTCACAGATGAGTATTTTAAAAGAAAACAGTAGGAGTATTTTTGTTACTTTTCAAAGGAATAATCTCAGAAGAGTTCAACTTGAGAAAGAGAACCTAATGGGCAGTGTTTCCATTGTGGAGCCTTTGGTGAATATTAAATCATTTATCTTTTTCAGGTAAAGCCCCTCCATGCTTTCCAAGCTTAGCATAAAAAAGATCTCAGCTTCTAATCCATGGAGGTTAGTTTAGCTATGAGGCATAAGGACGTGAATGAATTATGAAACCTCAAGTTTGACACAAATTTTCAAAAAACACTTGTAAATGGGGCCTATAAGTTTGAGTGCATTAGTTCTTTTCTTTGTAAAACTATAATGCAATAGCTAGCTAGCAAATTAGTCTTCCAGTAGGATTCTATTATAGATAGCTTTTGTAAGAAATAGAAGCAAATACAGGAAGATGTGCATTTCCTAAATTAACAGAAGCCTAGAATGCGGGGGAATGCTACTAGCCATGAGTCATAAACCAGGCATATAATTTATGCCTTGGAATACTCAAAATGCTGCATTTCCTTGATAGCAACAAAATTGTGATTCAGCATGCTATTCAAAAAATAAGGCATACAGAGGTTTTCTTTAGGAAATCGGCCAATTATCCAGCATATGAAGGTAGAAATTGTCCCCAGTCTGGAAGTAACAAAGAGCAAGCAGAAATTATGACTGGATTTTGTGTTTCTCGTGCTTGTATCTGGGCTTGTCAAGAATCCTGTGCTTCTTGTGAGAGCCTGGAATTTGTTGTGGAAATAAAGTAAAAACATTAATGTTTTGCCTTATGTCTTAAGTGGAGATGGAACAGTGCACTACATTCCTGAGCTCGTTCAGATTGTGATATGACGCCTAAGTCTGACTTTAGCGTGTGTGCTCTAATTTTATTTAAATGTAAGATGAATTACCATTAATAATGTTTTTTTTCCTTTGCAATCTGGTTCGAAGGCCACTGAAGAGAATAATTATCCTTCCATTGACTTCAGTAACCATTGGATATGAGCTGTAGTGTACTTAAAATGCACTTAAGAATGTTTAGAATAATTTCATCTCCATGGTTTTCAGTAAATATATTTTTATTAATGTTCCCTGTAAAACACTATGAATAATAACAATACCTAACATTTATGCAATGTCTTCTGTCTGCAGGATGTGAACATTAACTATAAAATAGAGTTAATGCCAAGCAAAGTTATATTTATCATCATGTGACATGTAAAAGAAAATACATTGAGATAATTAGATACATCCAACATAAAATTATAGAAAATATCTACTTTCAGGTTAAAACATTTTATCTGTGAGGATCTAGACAAAAGAGCCATTTAGTGTGCTGGGATGTTGAAGTGTTACAGTTATGATATGTTGTCAGTACCTTTTTCTTTTAAATTTTACTTTCTGGAAAGTAAGCTAAATGCTCCCTGGAAGTGTAGCTGAACCACAGAGGTGAAGGTTGGTGGTCAGGTTTTTTTTTGGTACTGTTATTTCCCATGTTCTATCCCGTAAGGAGTTAAAGTGTTTGGGCAGGGAGGAAACAGAACAAGTATGTAAGTGTTTAGACTTCGAATCATAATTCCTGCTGGGCCCTTAAGCACAATGGAATCTCCTTGTTTTAAATTTGGGGGTTGAACAGAAAAGGCTGGTTTTGGCTGCTGCCCAAACAGCTCATTGTGCAACTCAGTTGAAGGAGACTGCTCATATACAAAGAGCTTATTCTTGGCTTAGCTAGAATATAATTTTTGCCACTAAAATGACCAACCTAGGGACTTAGTGAATTAAAGTGATTCGTGGTTCTCCACAACTGGGATTATTAACTGTATCAGTTAGGAGCACTGGCAAAATATATAGAAATGGGGACAACATTGAACAGTTAATTTTTAAATCACTGCCTCAATGCAGTGCTAATATATGTTACAATCCCTGAGAATGAGCAAAAGGAAATTTGCATTTATTATCTACTTTTTTATGGCACATTCAGTACTTTGCTCATCCTCTGACTACTTCAGCAGTGTCTACTGTAAGTAGATATTTCAGGAGGAATCCATGCATGAATTTTTTTCATCACTCAAACTTCTCTTTAATACTTGAGGAAAATGGGATCAGAGGCATAGTAGGATCCCTCACCAAAGAACTGTGACACTCTAACCAAGCACAAGCTCCTACTGCTGATTTTCCCCATCTTTATGGCCTGGTGTTAAGGCTCCATTGGATTGTGGTGCTACTTGTTTTATTGAGTGAAAAAACCCCTCCAAACAGAAGTAGAGTTGGCTGTATCATGACATAACTTTGTCATTTAATTCCAGACTGTAGAACTGAACCATCTGCTTGTACAGGATCTGTAGTTCACCTTTGTTTTTATCCTTTGAGTCTTGTAAAGCCATAAGCATGGGGAATAAGGTGTTTTAGTTCTCTGCTGGTCACTTCAGTGACAGAAAGGTCAGTAGGAAAGCTGCTGCTTTGCATCCATGTGGGGTGAGTTAGAACAGGAAGAGAGAGGAAATCAGCTGTGTATTAATTATAGCTTCCAGCTTATTTGTCCAGCTTTTTACAAGTGAAAGGGAAAAGGAAAAAGAAACTTAATGCTTCAAAAGGAAAAGTATAATAGCAGTGAAACAAATATGAGTCAGTATTTATTTAATAATTACTGGAAATCAAAGAAAAGCAGGATTAAGAAATACAACCAGCCTGCAGACAGCAGGAGAATCCCAATGTTTAAGAATGTGGCAATCATGTCTGTTTATGTTCTATGAGAAAATATTTTTGAATGATCCTTTAGTTGAACCTACCATAGCATGTGGTAGAAGCTTTTTCTTCTCTGGATTCAGATTAGATACTTCAGGTCAAACTCTACTTTCTATGGAAAAGTAATTGAAGTTAAACTGGAGTGAAGAGTTTGGTGTTATTACAGACTACCCAGCTTCTATTTATGGCAGAACTGTGGGTCAAGGGGCTGATAGAGCAATAATGTACTTTTATCAACTGTGAGATTGCAATTCAAATGCTCAGTAGCCAGTAATTGTGCATTCGTGTTTTGCACGATATGAAATGTACAAGCCAAACATCTCTGACATAAACCCAGCTTATTTTGTGCCTAACATCCATAACTGATGCAATTTAAACACTTCTCTGAGAGCATATTTAAGAAAATGGGAAGCAGTAGACAAGTGTTACTGATGCAAGCCCGTTTCAAGCGATTCTTTGAACACAGTTATTGATAGGTTTTTCTTACATAACATATGCAAAATGTAATTGAAATTTAATTAAATGTCAGCATGACACCATTAAACAGCTAACATTTGCCATCTTCTAAGACAACTGTTCTGAGCAATAACTTGTAAATCAGGAATTTACTCACGCTTTGCGTGTCTTTTTTTTTTTTAATATTTTAGACAAATAAAGGCGACGCCCTTGCAAACCGTGTCCAGAACACATTGGGAAATTATGATGAGATGAAGGATCTGTTAACCAACCACTCCAATCAGAGCCACCTTGTAGGAATCCCAAAGAATTCTGTCCCACAGACACCCATTGACAAAAATGAACAGAACTTTTTCCCAGAACCGAGGAACAGGATGATCCCATCTCATCAGATCAGTGGCAACTCATCAACATCAATGCCTCCGCCTTCTTCATTGTCATCTAATTCTACTTTGCTGCACAGCCACCAGAGCAGCAGGAAGTCGAGGACAGACTGGTCACGCAGTGGTCACAACTCCAGTGGGGCCCAGCCAAGCCAGCCCAGTGGTCAGCAGAGTCGGACAAAGCACAGCTCTTCTCATGACCAGTCACAGGGCAGGTATGAAGATCTCTACAATTGCCAGAGTGAGCAGCATAAAAGTGGGGGAACTGAGGAAGCAAGTGCTATGGCAACATCTTCACATTCAAGGAGGCACACTCATGCAAAGTCAGCACCTGGAGAGCACACTTACAAAGAAAACAGTCATTCAAAGTCACCCACAGAGCTTGAGTTTGTAGGCCATGGTCCTGGATCTCCACTTCCTTCCACTTCTTTGTTAACTGCAAACAATGGTCTTTCAACTCAGAATTTCCCACCAGGACTTCACTGTAAAAACAGCATGGTCCAGCAAAAGCCTACAGCCTATGTCAGGCCTATGGATGGTCAGGACCAGGTACCCAATGACTCACCTGAACTGAAACCCCCAATAGAAATTGAGAGTGGATATGGAAATCAGTCCTTTGGAGCACTGCTGGAAGGAAAAGTGAACACACCTAGTTCGAAGAACAAGGTACCAAAGCTCAACATTCCTCCTGTTAGTGAAGTAAGTGGTTTAAAATATCTTCTCTCTAGTACTGCTTGAGTATTACATTCACTAACTATTTTTCTCTGGAAATATGCAGTTGAATTACTGGAATAAACAATACAGTGTATTCCCTTTTCTAAAATGTGCATGACTTCTTTCGTTGGTTTGTTGTGATAGTCCCAGTAGCAATATTTAATGTAGTTTTGAAAGCACATTTTGAAATACTAACATTTCTTGTTTATGATTAATATTAAAAGGCTAGATCTCTGTTGGGTGTAATATATGTGTACCAGCTACACTGGCTCTGGACAGGGAACTCTAATATCTCAGTTCATCTGCAATTTTCACTCTTGAATTCTCAGTTAGTAAGTAGTTTGATAGACAGATTGCTATTTTAAATTCTAAGGAAAAATGGCAGTGTTCAAATTTCAGTGGCACTAAACAGTTCTGCCAGTAAGTTTATTTGCAGAGTTTGCTAAATTCCTTTTTTTCTTTTTATTGGAATTAATATGACTTATTTTGTGAATAATGCTTATGAAAATGTGTCCCATTGAAGCTTTTATGCATTTTGAAGAGCTCTTAATACTGGGATTCAGTCCCAATCTCTGCAACCAACAGTTTAAGCTGTTGAATTTTGTATTGCTGGTCAGAACAGTAGTCCTGTGAGGAGCATTTTTGGTACAATAAGGATATAGACTGAACTATTTATACTCTGTGTATTTTTTCTCTTAGTCTGAGTTTCTCTAAGCCAGTAACCTTTGGAAGGTAGGTGTACAGTGTACATATAAGCAGAATTGCAAGATGGGATTTTCATAGCTTTCTGTTTTCCCAAAAATATTTCCCTGCTCGGTAATATTTTTATCCTAGGAATGAGGAGCGATGCATTCTTAAACTACTTTATACCAAAAGGTCAGCTTTTTCTATTGGAATAATTGTTTCAAGCCAATAATTTGTTTGACTATTTAAAAACTTGATGTTATTTATTAACATTCCAGGCAGCAACAAAGACTGATGTGTTTTGCAGTAGAGCTTGGAATAATTTTCTGGGAACTGCATCTGAAAACAGTAAAAGGCCTATTTATATCAAGTGGAAGCTGAGGGTTGCTTGCAGATGGTGTTTTATTAGAAAATGTATTTGTTAATAAACGTAGCTTTCTGCAAGATTACTTTACAGATGTTTCTGTTTATTTTTACCTTGGGTTAAAAATCTGCTGGTGTAGATGACTTCAGAGTCTGCTGCGATTTGTCACTAGCATTGTTTGGCAAGTAAATAATTGCATGCAAAGGAAATAATGATGTTGCAAAAGCAAATACTTTTTTTTGCTCTTGCCATCTATTAATGCCATGAGTCAATAGAAGCACTTTAAAGTGCAGAATTAATGCAAAGTATTTTTGGAAATAAATGTTACCTTTTGCAATTTGTGTCAACTACTAAGAATGCATTTTTAATTTCTTTACTTTTTGAGTGAAATCCTGGAACTGTGAAATCGATTGAGTTGTTAACAATGTTTTTTGGGTGCAGAATTTCACCCACATTCTTGCATAGCTCTAGGAATCTCTGATATGAAGTGTTGTTTTTGGAAGGATTCCCAGTTGCAAAGATGAAAAATTGCATTATTAATTTGTTGCTATTTTAGTTTATATCCTGCGTAGTGAAAAGTATAGGCGTATAATTAATTTCACGTTCAGATAAATGGTAAACTCTAAGCAAATTAGAAATTAAAGTAGATAATAATCTTAAAGTAGTCTGCATTTTGAGAGTGAGTAGTAAGTTGAAGAGGGAATGAAAACCCAAAGCTGTGACAAAATAACTTTTCCTTTCTGAGACAGAACATAGGACAATAGCCAGACTGATGGATCTTTTACAGGCAAATCTCCTGTGTTTGGAGAGTTGGATTTTTTCACCTGTGTCAGGACTGTGAACTTTGGCCCTCTGTGTTTTTTCACAGATGTGTATCCTGAATTTGATTTACCTTGCATTCAGTTATAAAACTCCTTCCAATCCAACATTATAGATAACTGGTTTAGTTTAAGCTTAATCAGAACTGACAGTGCACACCTGTGAAACCCATAACCTTTTCAGAATGACTGCAGTGAGTGGCTCTGTTGTAATCTTTATACAATTGATGTGGAGGCTTATGTTCCTTTGGTGGTGCTTATCAATTTATGAACCTTCCCAAGCCACCTCGAGCTGTAGTGATCTGCTTGAAACAATTTTGTTCCTACTCCATAGGTTTCCATTTTAACACTGTTCCAGGTTGCTGCTGGTGATCTTCTTCAAGCTAGCAATAGGAGAATTGTTTTGTGGCATTTCTGCATAATTTGTACTGTCGGTTTCCTGTATATATGAGTCCATTTTTTCAAGTTCCTGAGTGTGTGCAGATAGAATGCACACTGAAAGGTTTTTAGTGATTCCCTCAAAGTTTTGCTTGTTCTTAAGATGAGGAATTCTGTAAAGAAATAAAATTCCTAGGTCATGGTCCTGCAATAATGGCATCCATTAGGGCATGCAGTGTTAGAAAAGAAAAAGACTGTTCTTGCTATCTTACAGAGAGAGAGGGGAGTAAGTAACCAAATATTTGAACAAGCAGATTTAAAAGAAGTGCTCAGACTGATGTGGAAATATGGTGTCATTTATCATGGCTTAATGGAATAAGATGTTGAGTGCCCTGGAAACGTTCTGCCATGTGTAAGGAAGTGATCAATTTTATAACATAATTTGTGTCACTTGAGGTGTTGCTCTAAGAATCTTTGCTCATTTGCTGGGCCCAATTCTGCCATCAGAGATGCCCATCCATCTTTCAGCTGCTCTGGAGCAGACAGCATTGTTAATGCCTCGCTGCTGGCGTGTCTCCGCCGGGCAAGGGATCGTGGGTCAGTGATTTCTGAGGTTGTGCACATTCTCATTGAGCTCACACAGACTCACCAGGTGGGTTCAGGAGGTGCTTAGCAGCTCTTAGACACCTGTGGACTAATCCTTGCCTCTGAGTGGGGGCTGCTGTGTGATTCACAGACCTTGGCTCGCCCAGAGTTAGTTCAGACCTGAGTGCACCATGAGTGGCCTTTTCTAGTAGAGAAATAGAAGTAGCAGAGCCTCTGTAAACTTTTAGTCATGTCATGGAAAGGTTTCTTTGTGATTTTGTGATCCTACCTTTTTGCTTTGTTTTTCGTATCAGTATTGTTTTCTAAGGGTGAAGGTAAAACATTTTATGGTTTGCCTTGAGCTAAACCCAGTGTAACCAGTAGTGCCCAGGCCTGGTAGCCCCTGAAGTTCAGAAGCTGTGGAGCAAATCTTCGTGAACTGGGAAGCCATAGGGCCATCATGTGAGTTTCTGGGTCACATGCAGAAATCCACCAGATCTCATGACACAGAATTGATAGCAATGGCCTTGGAGCTAAAACTGAGAGAGAAAATTATAGAAAGCCTCAACCTGTAAACATTATTTGCTGTTCCTTTCGTATTAACTCCTGTCTCTTTAGTATGCATTTATGTCATACTTACATTGCAATACGTATATATTAATTTTGAGCTTGCGTTTAACTGATAAATTGTGGCAAGCCAGGAATATTGTAAAGAGCTTTTGTATTATGCAGAATTCCACCTACTTAAATCCTATGATGGCAGATGATTGTTACTTACCACTCAAAGAGAGCTGCATAGTTAAATCCTATGAATTTCTCCAAAAAAGTAGATGTTAGAGACCACAATAACAACTGATCCTCTCTCTGCTGCTTTAAAATCCAGAATCTTGATACATCTATCTATATTTAAACCTCTAGGAATCAGATGCTTATAAATTATTTCAAATTGACTAACTCAGCAAGTGACAGCTGAAAGAAAGCCTGTACTTTTCAGATTGGGTTCAAGCACAAATTACTGGGAGCACTGAGTAAAGCAGAGAGTTTTAAGGTCTGTGGGAACATCAGAAGCTGCATTCCTGGAAAACCTTATGCCCAGTTCCCCAGAACAATGCATGGATTTCCAATAATGGTTTAGAGATGGAGAATCAAGAGCAATTGAGATAATTTTTGATTCTCAAGGCAGTTTTTAAATCTCACTACAGAATTGGCTTCATGCTCCTGCAAAGTAGCAAATGCTCATGTACAAAAATTTCCCAAAAATACAAAGCTAGGAACAAATCCAAAAGGCCTACGACATCTATGTCACTTTCCACTTAAGGAATAAAAAATGAAGAACTTCTATTTTCACTTTACTTCTAGGAAAATATTTTGACGGGTTCAGTATACTGCAAAGTGATAAGCTTCTGTTACGTGTTTCAAATCATTCTGTTATCGCTGCATGTATTGATTTGCTTAGTGCTTTCTGAGCTAGCTATAAAAAAGGCTGTTCTCCTTCTGCATTAAAGAGCAAGAAAAATTGACAGGTAGATAACCATATTGATTGAACCTAAATAGTAAATGCAAGAGGCTTATATATGACTTATAAAACTCTCTATAGGAACCAAAGCCAGGATAATATGTTTGGTTTCTTTCTTTTTTTTCTTAATTTAATAGAAAGAAAGTAGATGCCATTAACCAGCCCCACCCCTTTTTGATATACGTGCTACTCTAGTTGTCAGCATAGTACATTGCCATAGTTCTGGGCAAATCACTTTTTTCAAATGCCAGTTTTAGCTGTCCCTCTGACTTTGAGCTTGGAAGAGGAATGGACTGGATCACGCATTAAGATGAAATCCCTTTGGTTGGTTCATATTTCAAAAGTCTGAGGCCAAAAACAAAGCCAAAGAGCAGTATTTCTTGCAGTATTAGAGGTTACAGCCATATGTTTTTAATTTGTAAATACTGTGAGAAGTAATGTTCTTATGATACTTCTAAATGAAGACCATATGACACCACTCGACTGAAGACCTCTTATTGTGGCCTTTTGAAGGCTACTGTCCCATGGCCTGGACAATGGCTAAGCTAAAACAGCAAAGCTGTTTTGCAGCAAGAGGATAGCTTGTCTATTTTAAAGGGATAGCAAGAGGACAGCTTGTCTATTTTAAATCAAACATAAA